CCAATGAGTGTGAAAACTCTGCAAAATTATCCTTTATTTAAGAGAACTATTACTCGATTTTTGCATTTACAAAAGCTTCCTCAAATTTTGGGTTCTGAATTCACTGATCGACTGTACCGTAGCGATGGCGCTTGTGGTCTCTGAACACTATGGCCGGTCTCACCAACTGTTCCTCAACGCTTCTACTTTGACTATCTCAAACGTCATGAAAGGAATTGACGTCCGATGATCTCCGATACCGCGCAACCCCCTCCCCCCCTTTCTTGACGGTCGAAAATCTACCGCCAGCAGTTTTTTTTCTCCTGAACCCTTCAAAACACAAAAACCATCATCAACTATACTTTTATTCCTCAGGAGTTTTTTTTCACTGCTGGTCGGATTTGTGTTTAATCGCTTCCCTTGACAATGCCTGTAAACTGGCATTTAATAAATTAAATTAAATTAAATAATAACTCAAGACTCTCTACGCCTGTCTCGCGCGAGCCTCATTTTCGAAGCTAATTCAAATATTTCAACGATTCTAAGATGAACTGATAATGAACTGACAGAAGAATCTTTAAGCTGTTTCCGTAGCTTTTTAAGTCTGTATTTAAGAAAGTGTGAGACAGTCCGCAAGAATTTCCAAATCATCAAGAAAGACAGCTGCGTTGGTTTGGACAGGCTGTTTGTTTGCTGCCTCTCAAACTTCGTGTTACTGCCCGCAATTCGTCGCCGTGACCCGCCGGATGGCGTTGAAGAGGAGGTTAGCTAAAGATCTGACTTGACAAAGCCCTTAAAGTCATAACAATAATAACTGTATTTAATGCCAGTTTACAGGCATTGTCAGGAAAGCGTTAAGCCCAAATCCGACCATTGAAATGGTTCTTGGACCTTCCCCATTCAGTCAGTGTCACTGGCGAAGGGAAGGGGTTAATAACCCTCGACTTGTTGTCGCAGGTCGTCACGCGCGGAAAAATGTAGTTTTTAAAGTCATCGGGGACGGCTAGATCGGGCATGATTGCAAGCGTGCGAAGTACAAGTACTAGCAAGTAGTGTAGGTAGCAGCTTGTAGAGTGATTTCAATTTTAACCATGTTGACAGTCGAAAACCCCATTAGTTGACGGGTACCACGGCCAACAGCTCAGCAGCGCATCTGGCACTGTTGTTTTAAGTCTCGGTACACTATTTTTTCTACGAAGTACATTTATAAGTTGTGACGCCGTTGCCGTTGGCGCCTTGCCCTGAAAAGCAGAAATAGACGAACTTTTCGCCACTGATGCTCAGTTTAATTTAGAGATCAGACGTTTCCACAAATGTTTAATGAATTTCTTGTTCTAAAACAAATGGCCATACTACCAGTAACTGCAATTTAAGATACCTGCAGCTAACTGGCAATCTCTTGATTTTCTTTTATCGGGCTAATGACATTAATAACTCAAGGCACCTAATTCAGTGAATCTTTCGGTTCACGCTACATTTGCTTTCAGACAGGTTGGTTCGACAGTGAAGATTAAATAAATTCCACAACTTAAACAATCTCGCCTTACTTGAGCTACCTTAAGTATACATAATTTGTTTTTTCATGATCGTCAGAGACAGAAATGTGCACCATTTTTATTACAAAGTTGCTATGGTAGATTTCGTAATTTCTAATATTATTTTTTTGTAACCAAAAGGAGATAGTCAGTCTGACGTCAAGGGGTGAATAAAGATTAAGCGATTTTTATTTTGTGCCAATGGGAAAATATACTTACTGATTAATAGGTACATGCATATGTAAGCAACAACACAATACACCATAATTACTTTATATTGTTAATTAATACGCACTTTTGCACAATAACCCTCTCAGATAATTAACCGGAAATCACGTCAAGTTAAATGGGTTTTACAGCTTTAGGTATATTGCGAATATACACAGTTTTCAAATTATTAAAAGAGCTTATGTAAACTCGTTTAATTATTTGAGAACTGTGTATATTATTATGCATAACAATAGCCTTAAATTTTATGTTACTTGGATCAAAGGATGCGCAGCATCCTATGCTGAGCAGCATAGGACTTACTCATACCATATGGCTATCAGTAATTTTTATTTACCCATCGTTGCTGTTCTTTGAAGTATATTTGCATTTTACTTGCTGTTTATTATTTTATCTAAAGGAGACGAAACCAACAAGGCTCTAATTCTAGCATCCTATATTCCACTTGTACAGCGGTAATTTTAGTTAAATCCGAATGCACCAGCCCATCAAATTTGACCAATCAATGCATTCGTTGGTTTAATGTTTTAAACAACTCAAAGCGGGGACAATTACTTATAAGTATCCCAGCCCTAATGTATTTGCAGAGCCAACAAGAGGACAGACAGCGAGATTTTCTGTAATCGAGTTAATTCCCACTAACGTTGTCATAAAATGTTTAGAACGCAGCATTTTCACAATTGGCCAAAAAATTTACTCTTTAAGCGTATGATAAACATGGATTATTTATTTACTTATAGAACCCGAACTCCAGCTATATATTTCAAAAGTCCAAATGAGCAAAAAGTTGACAAAATCGGCAACAGGATCTCGTGTTCGAGACCCCGAGACGGCGAAACAGCTGCTGTCCCATTTTACACAGGTGGGGAAAATGTACAGAAGTTAAAGGTCATGCATTATTGGTCCCAGAGATGCATGTCTGCATGGCTATGTTTCTTTTACTAATGTATTGACTAAAAAGAAGTATTTCATTCTTGAACCAATTTAGGTCCCTTCAATTGATGAACCAATTATAAATCAGGATCTCATCGAGGCCGCGCTACTTGACCCGTCGTGCTCGGCGGTGAGCAGGGTTCTTGTTATCTACACCGGTGGTACAATTGGCATGAGGTCGCACGGTGGTGTGTATGAGCCGGAACCAAATTTTCTTGTGGAAGCAGTCATGGATATGACAATGTTTCAGGACAAAACGTGCGTTTCATTTTTCTTTGAATATCTTTGCCAAACATCCTTCCATAAACCCGGCGGCACGACCAAAGTTGGAACAGTGGATTTTTCATTAGAGCTAAGTCGATTCTATGGTAAAGCACCTATGTTGTGGATAGGCGCAAGATTTTCTTCGATTTTTGTAAAAAGACAGTTTTGCGTACAATTTGTAGGTTCGTGTTCTTTGATTTAGAGTTATTTCGCTTCTTCTTTAATCGGCTAAGATCTACAAGCTGCAGTGACTTATTAAAATATCTGCCATGTACCCAGGTTACCTACATTTCTAAAAATTTATGTACGATTTGGTCACTGCTGTAGGAGTTTCGTTGATTACATACGCACGTTTAGAAGTCCAGTTTACTGCCTTCACGACAATTTCCTAACCCGAATAGGGTTTTACGGAGGAGGCAGTGAGCAATTAAAACGCTAGATGCGACACGCAGAAATAAATGTGATTCGTACTGTCACACCGTCTGAGCTCAGTAACTTCCGTCTTCAGGGGTCCTGCCAATATACTTAAGGAGGGTATACAATTGACATCTTCAAGTCACTCGTTTAAAAGTCTCCGCATCCTATATATAATGAAGTGACTCTGTATAATTGTGATAGAAAACTACTTAAAAAGCTCTCCGGAAACAACATCAGGCTTAAAGTCGGAACAGAGACAAACAATGGTAGACTTCCCCTTTTGAGTGCTCGACTAATTAATCTGCAAATTGGTAGTTGTTGCTTTATCAGCATCAGAAAGGTTTAAAAACGGACGATAACTATGCCCCGCTACAATCTTTTGAACAGCACAAAGAGTGCAACGTATTCCTTATCTAAGGATTGGATTTTATTTGCTCCGCAAAAGCCGCAAGGACAAAGGAAATGACAACAATGTACCGGCAGTAGATGTACAAAATATCTGAAAACCGTTCGAATTTTTTGTGAGAAAAATAAATCTCGATTTTTATATACGTAGACTGAATGAAGCTACACAGAAAAGAGCAGCAGAAGAAATTTTTTAAACGTTTAGGCCTTGTGTTCATAATGATGATCATAATAATAGACTCGGTGCAAAACGCATACACAATTATCGCAGACCTCAGTTCTGAGACAAATTGGAAATATAAAATTAGATTTTCTAAGGGAAGACAAAGTAATATATGAAAATTATGGGGCCAAAAAGTTTTGTCTAGATCTGGGATCAAACCATTGGCCAGCCGAACCAACGCCGTTCTTTACCTCTAAGCTGCCACAGTTGGGCCTGGTAACAGTGTAGATTCCATCATATTTGACTTGTGGGTTAGACCCTATTTAGCATAATTCACCCGAAGTCAAAGTTCCTAATTATTGCAAGCTTCTGACGCTGAGATGACTTTCACCGATAGATTTTACAGCTAGTTTTAACCAGGAGGGCTCTGGAACATAGACCATGCGGGCGGTCGTATAGCGATAAGCAGTCATGATAAACTGACATTTAATTCATGTCAGTGTTTTCCCATCAGCGAATCACGCCCAACCTTGTGGCTACACAGACTCATGATTCAGGCCATTTTTCTGACTGAGAAACATGCTCTACCATTGAACTAGCAGTACCTGAACTTCAGTCAAGGACCTTCTGTCCATTGAAATCGTCAACGATTAAATTTTCACCGACATGCATACTGCTCTTGGAGGAATTCGTTTCAGTATCTAGTAAGAAACGAGTTAAACAAAACGTAGCCTTTTTCCTAATCTTAACCTGACAAGAATTGTTCAACTTGCTTTGTTGGATTTCTTGCCGAGCGGCTGGCATCCAGTTTCGACAAGATGCGAGCATGAATTTTCTGCCATGGCTGCTAGTTTCCATTCTCAAAGCCCCATCAGCTATTATTGGGACATTCTTGATAACAGGTTGCTTGTTCTGTCTGTAAAAATTACAGTTAGTCGCATTTTTGCCTACACAGCTTCGCGCAGCGCAATGCCATCCACTTGAAATATTTCGAATCAGGGAGACATGGCTCAGAAGCCACTTCCGAGAAAACTTCGGACGCGACGTCAAACAGAAAGGGCTGGCCGACCATCTGCATGCCCCTAACCCTTGAAAACCGTCGCATCTTCTATACCATTGCTGAGTACGAAAACCTCCTGGACTCCTCAAACTGCACCATGGATAATTGGATTCAGGTGGCTCAGCACATCAATCTCTTCTATGATGAATTCGACGGCTTTATTGTTCTCCACGGTACCGACACCCTTGCTTACGCTGCCTCCTGTCTCTCCTTCATTCTGGAAGGTCTGAAAAAACCTGTGGTTGTCACGGGCTCACAGATCCCCATTGGAGAGCTTCGCAGTGATGGAAGAGAAAATTTCATGGGTTCCCTCTTAGTCGCCGGCGGTGGTTACCAAATTCCCGAAGTTACTGTCTACTTCTTCAACAAGGTCAGTGCTGTGGACTTTATTGACCAGCTTTTCGTGCAGACGTTTGAAGCAAATTTCTGGACTTACCTTTTTCCTCCTCAAATCCTAAAGTGTATGAGCCATTTGTCAACTGATGTTTCAACAGATGATGGATCAAAAGGCATACACTACTGGCTTAAACCCTGGAATGTTTCTCACTTTCAAAAACGCGGTTTCAGTATGAAACAATAGTTCGGTGGAACGCGGTTTTTATTTACCTCTTGACTTTGCAATCGCGCCCTGTGTCTATGAGGGCGAGATCAGCCAGTTCATATTGTTTTTGTCTATTCACTTATATGCAGCATTATGTTCTGCAAGACGATCATAAAAACTGACTCGTAGGTCAGTCGAATACTTTTAGCTACCAAAACTTTTGCGAATATTGAGGCCCTTAGAAACTTAATAGGTTTTTTGGGGACTCTCTTCCCATTACTTCTTATTATAGCAGCTGGCGTAATTCATGAACTGGTAGCCGAAATTCTGAAATGTCTTGAGGTAGAAAGAATTACTAAGGTGCAGCAGAGTTCCAAGATACATCACTCACGCCAGAATGCGGGCCTTTTAATAAACTCCTTTTCGGTTGTCTACGAAAACGACCAAGTAGGTGGTATGAATTTCTCCCCTTAAATTTCAATGTTTACATTATTTAAGATATATTTTATAGAAAATATGTACAAACGATTCTTTCTTGTAGTAATTCGGTGTCAAGTCACGTTTGTCTTAAATTATATGCTTGAAGAAACGGTATTTTTCGAATTTAAAATAGTTTAATAATGAGAATTTTAAAACTAAAAATGTTCACTCATAAAGCATGCTCTTTGGCTGTTTATTAATGTCGCTTATAAATTTTGTAATTAGATTCACGTCCATAGTGAAATTGTACGAACCCTATATGACATCATCCTAATATCATAAAAGAACGCATAATATTCCTTGCACGGAATGTATGCAGCATGAAGTTTGGAAACCCCAAGAGCAAATGTGACTGCATGTGGGTTTTAAAATTAATCGAGAATCGAAAAAAACCTTTTCTGAACCTAGGAAACCTCTTCTTTGAGCGTAAAATTGGAAGAAAACATAATATACTGCCAAATACGCCTAAGAAAGAGTATTTTAGACGTCTTTTTTAGAAAAATATATTTAAGACGATAAAGGGCATAAACATTCAATGGGAATAGTCATACTTCTTATTGAGTCATTTTTTACCGGGCGCGATTTTTGCAGCCCTCAGGAAGGAGGTTAATCTAAGAGCCGGTATCGGAACACGACTGTAGTGTCCTGGGATTATGCTTTGTTCAAATCAATCTTACAATCAATTTTAGCTAGTCCTTTCTCATCTAAAACACTTTTCAGGGTTTCAGTTAAAATTTTGGAAGACACGCCAACCACTGTACAGAGACATTTCAAAAAATGTTCTTTGATTTGTATCATAATGCTGACGACGATATTTCGCTGACAAACGGCTGAGAATGTTTTGACATCGGAAGTCTCCGTGTTGAGATAAGGGATGCCATCAGTTTTTCGACTTCTCAATTTGTGGCATCTTACTAACGCCCATCAGATGCGAATGGAAAAAACTGAAGTATGAAAAGGAAAATTTCGCTTAATCATCACGGATGTTATTGATCGCTCCGGAAAATGCGATAAAAATCGTGAACATTTTATAAACCAATAAACTCAAAGATGTATGTCATGACCTTTGTTGAAAGTGATATCTTTTACTGGCTGCATCACAGAACAGGGCGTACGGGGAGACAGATTGGAAGTTCCCCTTCGAAATCGCAATTTTCACTGCGTCAGTTGTGGAGTTCGTCATGAACTTTGCCGGGTCCTGCATCCATGCAAATCTTTCCCAAACTTAAACCCGATTATCATTGGTGGTTGCCGGACACACGGCAGAAGAATTTCTGATTCTCATTCGATTACATAGAAATGACAGGCGGCGAAATGACTGTCTACCGATGTTATATTAATTTCCTCATCAATATATTCACTTCTTACTATTAGTACACACATATTTTTCCCACAGACAAGTGCATATTTTCAGCTTTTTTTCTTGACACGTTAACTGAAATGACTGTTTATCTTATTTCCAGCAATGAAAAGTAAAAAAACCTGGGGATATTTAGTTTACTGGGGCTCAATGCTGATAACGGAATTAGCATCTGCATGCATTTTTTCTCTTGGAACTGCCTATGCATATTAGTTACGTCCACTACCCGATAAAGTAATTCTTTCACTTTCTGCGCAGCTTATGCGTGGAAATCGAGTGGTGAAGTGTTCTGCAACTGACCTGGATGCCTTTACCACACCCAACTATCCCCCCTTGGCAGAGATGAGCGTAGACATCAACATACACGGTGCCAACATCCTCCAGTCTGCAGGGGATACCTCGGAATTTACGGTGCAGGATAAATTGAGCAAGAATGTTGTCATGCTACGCCTCTTCCCCTCCATCACAACGGAGACAGTAAAATCCTTCTTTCAGCCGCCTGCTGAAGGTAAGGGGCAGTTCAGTTCATTAGCGCGCCAAAATGCAGCGTTAACTGTGCAGTGAAAGCATTATTAGACAGTTTCGTTATGCAGGTCTCCGAGAAATTTCACTTCATTCTGCAATGAATACACTTATTCTGACAAAAAATAGGGAGCGCGGACCATTAGAACGGTGTCTGCAGCTGGGGTTTTAGCCTAAAACCGTTATTTCCCGACGTGTTCGAAAAGCACCAGTCTCATGCATTAAAGAGGCCTTTTTTTGGATTAAATATTGGATGCAGGCTGCTAAATAAATTGTAAATGGCTTTGTATTTACTTTCTCGTGGCCCAGCAAGCACAAACTTAATGTGTCAATGTCTACAAGGGTTGTTTTAAAATTTTATTTATTCAGCACAGTTGGCAAGCGTTTTTGTTTTTGCAGAAGTACGATGAAGAACTTTAAAAACAACCAGTTGTAACGCAAAGGCGCGTTTATTTGAACGATCTAGACATAATTCCCTCAGTGACGTTGCCGCTTCTTTTACTGCTGCCCTAAATATTTAAATGCAAAATAGAAGTTGACCCTATTCTTAGACAAAACTATCACTCGATTCACATCTTTGTGGTAGTGGCGTATAGGCATTCTTAAATTTTTACCCGCGACTGTACGTAATATGCGTATGTACGTCTAGGTATCCAATAAAATTTAACTGCAGGGCAGTATGCCAAACAGTGTAAAAATGTCATTTTATTACCTTCCGCCTTCTGAAAAGGCTCCAAGGTCTCCTGTGGCAGAGGCAGCGTTAGTATGAGAAGTTATGTGGAGCTTCAATCGCGTAATTATTTTCACTTCAGTCCTTTTTAATTTTCTGCTTCCGTTCTTATTTTTACACCGAAGACAGACAGGTGCAAAGCATTTTTTACTGCATTTCCTCCCCCAGATGTCTCTTAACCTTAACTAGCGGACCATGCTATGCGAAGTTAGTTTTTTATTTTTAAACGTAGGGCGCTCTTATGATCTTCAAATGATGCCCATTTCAGTCATTACGTCATTAATAAGGAACGCCCACCAACTGCATGTGGTAATAAATGGATAGGTCAATAAAAAAGTTCTATTTAGTGTCAGCGAAGAAAGGAATATTTGTAAATGCAAGCGTTAAATAAAGGTCATGTAGAGAACCCTAGAAGCACAAACCACCCATAGTGTTTAAAGCACATTCAGACATGTCATATAAGCATAACTTTTGCACGCTTCTCTTATAAATGCTAAGGAGCAAACAATATTCCTTTTGGGACTGATCATTATATATCTCTGAGGTCTGGAGTAGCATTTTTAATTTCTAGAGGGTGACTAAGTTTGGGGCTTTGCTCTACACCTCGGTAACCATCCTGCCAGTTAAAAAAACGGTGGAGCATAGCTGCATGTTGTTCTCATTTCACACTGTTCCCTGCGCTGCCTCAAAGGGCCAGAATTTTTGAGCGTCAGTTAGCTAAATTACGCCTAACAGTAATTTTTTACACAAATAGGTCCTCCTGATGTTTATAGTTGTATGGAATTCTAAATGCCGAAGGCACAGAAAACTTGGCTATGGAATTCAGACCATGCATCATAGGGCACTTCTGAATGTCTCGCAGAATCGTGCAAGTTATTTGCCCCCCTGTAGCCTTAACAGCTGTATCTGGGCATTTTTTAATGCGAAACTAGGCAGAGCTTTGAATTTAAGTTCAGTTCGGCAAATCTATGCTTGTTGCTTCTTAAATTCTTCAGAAATTGACTACGAACTTGAAGTAGATCAGTATATCCTAGGTCTCTAGGCTCAGACAGAGAATTTTATGTATGAATATTTGCGCCAAATTTCATCAGCCACAGCGGAAAACCGCGTAATATTCATTGTCTGCCGACAGGCAGCTAGTTGTATACTTTAGGGTAAAGGGATACCATACTTTCAGCACAGGTACTTGCCAAAAGACCATACACGCGTGTTTCGCCGATGTTTTGCCGCTGCATGGCGCAGCTGCGAGGGGTTCGGCTCGTCAGTGGGTCCCCCAGCATTCCTCGTGTGTTTTCTGGTAGATACTCTAATTTAGAAATTGTCACTTTTAAATTTCCGGAGAAATTTTGTGCGAAGTAGGAGTAGATCAGTATATTCAAGGTCTATAGGCACAGACCGAGAATTTTATACATGAATATTTGGGCCAAAGTCCATCAGCCACAGCGGGTAACCGCGTAATATTCATTAACTGCCTACAGGCAGCTAGTAGTATAATCTAGGGTAAGGTGACACCATACTAACAGCACAGGTACTAGCCAAAAGCCCATACACGCGTGTTTCGCTGATATTCTGCCACCGCATGACACAACTGCAAGGGGTTCGACTCATCGATGGGTCCCCCAGCATTCCTCGTCTCTTTTCTGTTAGATACTCTACATTAAAAATCGCTACTTTTTAATTTCCTCCGGCTATCGACGAAACAAATGTGTATGGGTTTTTGGATAGTACCTGTGCTGTTAGTATGGCATATCGTTACCATAAAGTATACTACTAACTACCTGTCGGCAGTTAATGGACATTACGCGGTTACCCGCTCTGGCTGATGGACTTCGGTTCAAATATTCATATATATATGCTGGAAAACGGGCATCCCAAGAAATTTAATTGAAAATAAGTAAGATTCTTTGGGAAGGGAACAAACTTTAATGAGTAAATTTTCGAGTCTGGTTCCCCAGCTCGTCGTCAGACTTTTGGGCAATGTACAAAAACAGTTAACTATTTAACCGTGTCAAACAAGTGATTCTATGGTTGGCCGAAGTCTGCGCCAATGCGCGTCAACGATTTCGTCATCCCATCGGCATTGGCTGCGCTCGCTTCCATTTGTCCTTGAGAAATTTGTATGTGGCATCTAAATCGATATGCCGATTGATGCATGCCTCATCTGAGTGCATTGTCGAAAGACAACTGAAAAAGCATCAGATACACGTAGCACACCAACCTACAACCACCTTGCGTACACAGCTTGTACACCCTAAGGACAGGGTTGGCTATCTTGATAGGAAAGGTGTTGTCTACAAGATACCATGTTCCAGTTGTGATGCCGTGTATTGTGGCCAAACTGGGAAATCCGCCTCTACCCGCTTACATGAGCATCAGTTAGCGGTGAGGAGACGAGATCATTTATCCCAGGTGGCTATGCACACACTGGACACTGGACACAAATTTGCATGGGAGAACACCCGCATTGTTGGCGCCTGCCCAATAAGGAAAGGCCGCGAATTCCTGGAAGCAATGCACTCAGATGAGGCATGCATCAATCGGCATATCGATTTAGATGCCACATACAAATTTCTCAAGGACAAATGGAAGCGAGCGCAGCCAATGCCGAAGGGATGACGAAATCGTTGACGCGCATTGGCGCAGACTTCGGCCAACCATAGAATCACTTGTTTGACACGGTTAAATAGTTAACTGTTTTTGTACATTGCCCAAAAGTCTGACGACGAGCTGGGGAACCAGACTCGAAAATTTACTCATTAAAGTTTGTTCCCTTCCCAAAGAATCTTACTTATATATATATATATAAATTTCGACCTAAGAGTATAGGCCTAGAATATACTGGTCTATTCAAAATTTGCAGTCAATTTCTGACGAAATCAAAAAGAATCAGTTTCTAAATTAGAGTATCTACCAGAAAACAGACAGGGAACACTGGGGGAACCACCGAAAAGTCGTCCATCTCGCTGCTGTGTCATGCGGCGACAGAATATCGGCAAAACAGGTGTGTATGGGTTTTTGGCTAGTACCTGTGTTGCTAGTATGGTATCCCCTACCCCTAAAATCTATGTTTGCTAGAAACTAATTATTCAGCCTGAGTATTTTGACTGATAGGGTCGCACTCATTAATCTGTAAAAAACCGTAGATGTCCTCATTTCGTCATTATCTTGAAAGTTTTGCCCTCATTCTCGCCTGTTTGGCAAACTTCGGGCTGTTAATGATTGCCCCACAAGAAACTTCCAGTTGTCTCGCACGATTGTGCACACCTCGTGTTCTCCCGGTCCTCGCGCTCATTTGAGCATTTTGTCGTGCAAAATAAGTCTGTCTTTATGAACTGCCTAGGTATGGCAGATATGTTTTCTCTAGAAAACAGGCTGTTTAATCTGTGTATTTTGACTGGTAATTATTTGAAATTATCGCGACACTGTTTAGTGCGATCTATGAGTAATCGCGGAATCTCACGAGTGGGATGAAACATTCCTCCAATTTGCATAGTTACGTCTTCCCCCTCCCCCCGCCTGCTCATCAAAACGTCAAAGTGTCAACACTGCTAATGCCTGATGTTTGCTTAATTTGGTTAAAAATGAAGCACATTTTCAAGAGAGTACACTAAAACTTTTGGTTGAAGTAACGACAATTTGAAAACATCATCCGCTTATCAGGAAACTGGTCAATGCAACGACTGCCGTGGACATAATTCCGCGTTCTAATGAATTTTTTCTTGCTGAGGAACAGTCCGACGCAAACGTCTAGGAAGTTCAATAGTTGGCCAAATTAAGAGAATCATTCTGAGATCTACCTATGGGCTTTTATGCTTCCAACGTCCAGTTGAACGTAGAGCAAATTTTCACATCCGTGTTTCCGCACTTCTTTATTGGTCTAATGGCAACCAAAAAACAACACTGTTTTACCCAAAGCCAAGACAAGAGCATTTCTCCCTCTGAAAACCTTAAATGTTGAGGAATCTTCTGACTTAGGCTTATAGGAGATCCCAAAGTGGGCTTAAGTTGACGGTTTGTTTGGGGATTTGCTTACGATTACTACATTCCAGTTCTTTTGCTTTTAGCCGTTATCCTGCAAACCTATGGTGCTGGAAACGTGCCCACCAATCGCCTGGACCTTCTAGAGATCTTCAAGAAGGCAAACGAGGAGCAGGGTATCATCATTGTAAATATAACTCAGTGCTGGAGCGGTTCTGTGCAAGCCCTCTACGCCACTGGGGCTGTTCTCGCTAAGTACGGAGTCATTTCCGGATATGTAAGTCCCTACTCACTAATGACATCATATGCGTCATTGTTGATGAGAAGTCTCTTTATTCTGCCCCGTTTTAGTCGTAAATTCCAGCACGGTGTGTTGCGTCGACGAAGAAAACGATGCTTGTACAACCTAAAAATTTGCATTCAAGCAACCAAAGATGAGCACTAAAACGCTTTTTTTGACAAAAACATTTGATCCTTAGATCGATGCAGTTATTTGCTTCGAAAATTTCCAGTTACACATGTACTAGTAATTAATAAACTTGACCGATTCGTGAAAACTACGATGCCCTTGGAGGGATTCGAACTCATGAGAGCAAGGATAGGGCTTGAGCAAAGTCAACGATCCAACCCCTGCGTTATGAGGCCCTGACTGCGAGGCCGTGAGCTTGATCACATCTGGGGCATCTTCGCCACCCAGCCTACTGCAGCTTCTGGAATCTACCAACTTTGACACAGTAAACTGACATTACAAGCCGAATTGTCTAAGTAATCAATTAGAAACCACCAAATTACCAGATTCTAAACGTTGCAGTAGGTTGAATGAGTAACTTCTCTTAACAGCGATTAACTTCACAGATCCCGATTAGAACCTCGCAGCTCAGCTGGTTAGAACGTTGATTGTATTTAGCCTTATCCTTGCTTTTGTGGGTTCGAATCTCACCAACACCGCCGAGTTTTTCACAAATTGCTTTATTAGATTATCGAATTATGCCCGGACTCCTAGTGATAATTAATTATGAAATTTCAAAACGCTACTCAGGAGGTTTCACTGTGACTACCTCGAGGATATCCTAGCTGTCGTCCAGAGTTTGGTGAAAGGCCTCCTGCTTCAAGTGAAAAGGCACTGGAATCTGCGTGTTTTATGTGGACGCGCCTCTGGTACTCCTTGCCACCCCTTGGGTTCTCTAGGTAGAATGTGACTACATGCAGGCCAGGATTTCGCAATCCCTGTCGAATGCATTCTTTCTTTCACCACTTTATGAAATCGCAAAAGTCTTTTAAAGTAACGATATGTTTGCTAGACAGAAACACACTTCCCAGACCCTAGTCTCATAAGAAGGTCCTCTTCTAACTGTCCTAACTTATGACTCTCGAGGATTTTGTATGCAAATCCAGAGCGCGTTGTTCACCTAGGGACTTAGAACTGACATTATCTTTATGGAGACTTTATCAGAAAAAATAAACTCTCCTTTCAAGGACATGACGCCAGAGGCCGCACTGGCAAAAGTCTCCTACGTTCTTGGCAAGTGGTCGGACAACAAAACCCGCCGGTTGATGCTTTCTCGCAATCTTCGTGGCGAAATGACAATTCCAGTGGAGGCGCCGGTAAGCAAACCCCAGCAGGATGCTCTCTCCAGCCTCTCTACCGGTCAGGCCGGGCTGACGCAGCTGGTTGGCTATATGGGTACCTACCTGTCCGAGCCTGAAACGAACAAGAAGGCGGCCGTCTGGGCAAGCCACCTCTTTCCCCTCCTCTTCTGCTCCGCGGCAGCGGCCAATGAGGTGGATGAGTTGGATCAGCTGTTCAAGGTCACGGGTACCTTTGAGGTGAGACTTGACAATCTCATGTGTGATTTCAGTTCACCTGTCGACTTTTGAGGGATCATACGAGACGGCATGTGCCTGCTTTAAGTCCTCCGTCTTCATGTCCACTGGAATTTCCTCTTCGATGCTAAGGCTGAAGGCATACGCATGCTGGGAAGATGTTTTGCTGGGGCAGGGTTCAGTTCGTTGACGCTTAAATGCTAGATGTCCCATTGTGGTAGGATTATGGGGACATCGCTTGGGGGTGGCGTTCATCAACCAGACCTGACTCTCGATCCTTCTATCTTGAGGACTCAGTCTAAAGCCTGGTGGTGGTCGCAAAACGATGTGCAATCGAAAACCGGGTGGCGTAGTTGGCAGTGCCAGTTTCAGGCTTGGTAGGTGCCGTCAATCAGCCACACCCCTAACGAACCAAGCGCTTTCATCTGAACGACATAGAGCGATTGGGTCCTGGATTGAAGCTTCAATCCACAGTCTTTGCAAGCGGTCGCATTGGAACAATCGATACTTTCCTTGACTCACTAAATAAGACCGGAGAAGTTTAAATTACCGTTCTTGGCTTATATGCCACCATCAGCCAGTGATGTCACACTCTTAGGCTAAAGTAAACTGATAAAAGCCTAGGTTTATTCGGTAATTAACGTATCGTGATTATAGAGTGGGTTCCTTGTTCGACACGCATTAAGGAATTTTAACAAACGCTTTTGCAGATAGTTGACTCTATTGAAGGTTTACAATCGAGTAAATGAACTGAGCACATCCACGATCTATGCTGCATTCACGCACAGTAGTGACCGCTTCATGTCAGCCCCTAGGGAAATTCGTTGCGTAAAAAAGTCCCTTGCTGCATAATTTGGCTTTTCGACTTGTGGTTTGTGTCTTGAGCTTAAATCTGAGCGCATGATCTACGAGCATATTCCGTAGGGCGTAAAATAATGGACTCTCACTTGAGCACGTACAAATATGAGTTTTAGCAGGGCAAGCTGATTTTTCGGAATCCTCCATCGTACCTTAGTTTATGGCTACATTGTTGTCCCGAATCAGCTGCTGTGCTCTCAGTGATCTCATCACATCTGTCTGCCTGCCTCAGTCATCTTAGGATCGGTCTTCGTCGGTTAAAAGTTTTCACTGTTTCACGCCCGTTTTTCCCTGGCGTTGTTGATTTCTACCACGAAGACGAGATAGGCGACTGTTTTCATTGTATATGCGTCTGCAAAGTGAGGCCACACCCAATGACAGCGTTGTCATTTCCTCAAGAACATCAAATTTTAAATAGTACTGTGTACGAGTACGCCACGAGGGTTTGTTAGAGGCTGGTTACTGTCGGATAAAGTTAGGTGTCATTGTTGACCACTTGACTTTCTTCTCTGAGAGTTAAAATCCTGTCTATCCCAAAATTAAGCAGATCAAATCGCGAATTTGATGGGTTCTTGAGAGCCCATGTTGTCGATTTGTACGCGTCCGAACTGATCGGTTATCTGAAAGATTGTGATTTCACCCTGAATTTTGTTGTTTTATGAAATCTTTATTTCGGAAACAAATGAACCAAAGACAGAGTTTTAAGTTTCCTCCGGAATTCCTATCTCTCACTCGCTAACATCGCGAATCTTTTTTTGCAAAGTCTTAGACGTTTACATCCGTTCGATATGCAGCATCAGCTCGAACTTTTCCAGGTTAAAAATTACTTACTCTACCACTAGTTGCGCCAACATAATAAACGCTTGGGTCAAAAAATCATAGCCATGAAACATTATTATGTGTTCATATGCTCACTGGTGTTGGTCTCGGGAAGATTTACCACAATTCCATGTAGGTCTAGGTAACTGCAGACATCACTGTGACGTCAAGTCGTTTTATACGTAAAACAAAGGCATCGCTGACGGGAAAGTCATCTGACTTGAAGAAACATTATTTCAAACCACGGACGCGTAAGAAATGTCGCTATCAGTTTTGGTCAAAAACGTACCTGGGAAAAACCCACCTAAAAGTGGAGGTGCCTTCGGCAAGGAAAGAACGTCTTAAAAGTACATTTTAAAAACATAGACCATATAATTGTTTACCATTAAAAATATATGAAAGTCAGATACGTGTGCAAGGCAGGTTACCCAATGGATCACTGTAGAAACCTGAAGAGTAGTTTAAGACAGCTGTACTTTTACTTAGTACTCACTCCAAGCTAGGCTGTTCTAATGACCTAGAACAGCGCACGGGAATGTAAACGACAGTAGGAAATATTTCTGGAAAATCCTTTTACTGAAATTCATCTACTGTCATGTAGCTAATTAAAATGCCTATTGGGTCGTTTAAGAACTAGCCTATTGCAGAGCATGAGTATATTCTGTGGAAGTCGACTTTAACCACTTTTGCTTAGATACTCAGCACTTTGCTAAGTTACTGGCTGGACTGGTAAAGGAGAGTGTCGAATGGTCTCCGATTTTTTTGGCCTGGTATCTAGTACATGCCAGAGACTTTTGAGAGGCTTTAACTTATTTTTCTTCCTTTTCACAAAAAACATCTATTTATTTTTCCTAAACTGCCTTCTCTACAGATGTAAGCAAAAGACTCGGCAGAAAATGTGGCCAGTACTCATTTTTTTCTAGTCATAAGCATTTCATTCTGTGTCCAATAGTAAATGTAAGTTCTCAAAATGTCGCAAATATTACACGTTCGAGGATATACATAGTCTAAATCTGTCCCCACATATTCGTCTAACCACCGACATATGTCGATTGACCATAGACCATGCAGTTTTGCGGAAATTCTTAGTGGTCCACACAGGGGACCTCGATACGGCGAAATTAAGACAGAAAACTTCTCGTGCTCTGCGGGCGATGGAGCAGAAATCTAAAACAGACATTTTCTCTCATCCGTAGTTGTTCGGTATAATAACTGGAGGACTAAATTCATTTCGACAGCCATAAAATTCTGCTAGTTATTTCAGGGAACATTCGACTTTGATTGCTTCTGCTTTAAATAGATGGCGTTTAGAGAGGGTAGGATTAAACAAGGGCGAAAAACGTTCTGCTGATTTTGCCTCGAAAAGGTCGAGGGATCTAATATCGCCCATCAGCCGACGAGAAAAACGTCTCTACACGAGCCCACTCATCCGTTACGTACTCAGCCATCCCGAATTTCTTGAGAAGAGCCCATGAACTTTTGACCTTCTCAGACTTTGCTTGCCAGGTCATCTGAAAGCGACGAAAGGACGAGGAGTCCAGACTTTGTCTAATTTTAACTCTGATTGTAATCATAGCTTTTTGTGTTCAATACCGAGAGGTCTTACGAGTTGCTGAGGTGCATGAAACGGTGTTAAAGAGACATATGCACGGGTTTTTCGTTTCCCGGCAACACTACCGACAGATAAGTGGAACAGGTCATCTTTCATCCGACCTTCCAAATCGCCCAGCCCTTAATATAATAACACTGTTATCATTCCTGTCTAAGTACGCATTAGGACACAGGCGATGAGTATCTAGTCAAGGGCATTTTCTAATAAGACGTTTAAAAAATCTATTGAAAGCTATATTCGTCGATGAAACCTCACTGTGGAACGGACTGTAAGCAATTTCTTTTAGCTTTAGATCCCAGTCTGGAAGCCTGGCAGTGGTAGCAAAAGGGCGTGAAATCAATAACCGGGAGGGGCTATCGGCAAGGGCAGGCTACTACAACGTCAATTTCGGGTTCAGTAGCTGTCGTCAGCCAACCACACCCCCATACCCACGTAGGGTGGTCTGAGATTTTAGAGCTGTGAGAATGCAAGCTAATATCATACACCTGAGTCGCACAATCACATACTCGCGAGTGCGGTGGGGACAATCAGAGGGGCATTGCACTGGTACTTGTAAATATTTTCAGACAGCAAGACGGAAGGAGGTCGACTGAGCCCAGCATTGAAGTTCCGATCCACAGTTCTTGAAAGCAGTCGCATTGTATTAATCAATATTCGCCTAGTCTTACTGACTAAGACAAGAGAAGTTTAAATTGCCGTTGTCGGCTTATGTGCCGCCATCAGCCAGTGATGTCGCAACCTAAAGCTAAAGTAAAATGAAAAAAGCCTAGGTTTTTTCGGTAATTGACATGTCGGGATTATAGCGTGGGTTGCTTGTTTGACATGCGTTAAGAAATTTTAACAAACGCTTTTGCGGATAGTTGATTCTACTGAAGATTTACTGCCGGGTAAATGAACTAAGTATATCCGTGATCTATGCCGTATTCACGCACAGTAGTGACCACTTCGTGTTAGTCCCTAGGGAAATTTTGTTGGGCCAGAAGTCCCTTGTTGAATAATTTGGCCTTTCGGCTCAGGGGTTGTGTTTAGAGTCTTTATCAAATACTGGTTCCTCTAAGCGCATGATCTCCGAGTATATTCGTAGAGCATACGATGATGAACTCGCACGGGAATAGATCAACATGTGAGTCTGAAGAGGGCAAGTTATTTTTCTGGAATCGTGATTGTCGTGTAATTCTGAATCCGCCGCTCTCTATGTGCTCGAGAAAGAGAACCCTAAGGCACAACGGGAGGAGCCAGCTTCGTAAAACGACCGTTGAGCGCCCATCTACCATCACATCTGTCTGCCAACCTCTGTTATTTTTTGAGTGGCCCCATTGCAGCCTGAACGGTTGTCAACTCTTCTCAATCCCTTCTGCCAAGATCATAACTTTTTCACTGGAGAGTCCGAACATTTCAGTGGTCGCGTAATCTTATCTGCATGAATAAAAACCTACTCAAAGCCATTGGTACTGGCAAATGACAATGTCAGTCGGAGGAGCGTCCGTTAGCTGACGCCACTACAGACATGTCGTTTGGATTTTATCTGTTGATCAGCAGTGCCGTATATGCGCATGCTTCAGTTTTCAATCGCAGGCGTTGGTTGGCAGGATGGCTGATTGAATGAGAACCTAACACATTTCGTGAAATGCTAACCAAAATCCCGAAATGTGTTTGCGACCCAAAAAGATTACTCATTTAAGGTTGTAGTATTAATTATCGTGCCTGGTTTTGAATGAACTTGTTTTCGGTGGCCTGAAGAAATGGCTCCTTAAAAATGTTTACTTAAGTAGTATGGCAATTTCTAATTGGTTTTGGACGCCCTTATAAATTCGATTATGTTCTATAGAAAACATGCGCCAGAACATTCTTTCTTGCACTCCTTCGGCAGGAAATTACGTATTTTTTAAAATTTGATACCAAAAATAGTACCTTTCGCTTTTAAGCACTTTGTAATTATGAGATTTTTAAGAATCGTAAAATGTTCAGTCATGCAGCATCGCATCAGAACATTTACTAATACAAATTACAAAGTGGTAGGGGGCGCTCACCGATAGTTCATACGGAACTCACTCGTTCCGTTGTGCCTTAAGGGCTCTCTCTCGAGCCCAACCAGCAGCCGCGCAGCGGCGCATGATATATAGGCAGAATGATATTACCGACAAAGACAAGGGGCTCGAGAGAGAGCCCTTAAGGCACAACGGAACGAGTGAGTTCCGTATGAACGATCGGTGTGCGTCCCCTACCGTAGTATATTCCCGATCGAAAACCGACAGGGCAACGGGCTCGTGGTCCGGTGGGTAGAGGCGTGGACTTCTAAACCAACAGGTCGCGAGTTCGAGGCTCGGGTGTTCCACACTTTGGGCTTCGGTATGGCTGGCTGACGACGGCTCATAAGCCAGAAATGGCCATTCCAGTCTCCCTGGTCTTTGTCGGTAATACCATTCTGCCAAAATTATAAAGTATGCAGTCTGATTCGCATCCATGGCACAAGTTTAAGGATGCTTTGCGGCATTTTCCTAGTAGCGCAGATATGTGATAGTCGTTAGACAAAATGTTTACAACACGTGGTTTGGGGATCCTGAATGCAGGTATGACAGCGGATAAAACAAAGATTAATTCGGGAATTAAAAAAAATTAAAAAACCCTCAGGATGCCAGAAAATGAGTGCAAGGAAAAATATTTCTGCGTTCGAAAATGTACTTGAACTTGGAAGAACGTCAAAAATTGACAAGCAGTACCAATACTACTTGAGTAATCATTTTTGCAAATTAAAGTGGATTTCAGACAACCGTCTGGGGAGTTTACTCGCCCAATCACCCATATGTGTTATGTTCTGTGTGTGTTATGTATGAGCTTAAAGGTCTTTAAACGTCTCTATGCCAGGATCGCCAGACCATGATCCTCGCGGCCTGGTGCGCACCGGCAGTTCTCTGGCACCTGGTTGCCTACCGGTTGATGCGCTTACGCTCACACTGGGGATACGGGCCGTGAGCATAGCTGGCCAGCCATTCCCGTCCTTTTGACCCGTTGTGGTGCTGTTGCTGTTAGTTAAAATCCTGGTGGAGTGTTGGTTGTGGACCAGGTGGTGTGGTGACACGCTTAGGTGCGGGTCCGGCCATGCCAGTTACCTGCGCCCCCCCCCTGCCTGCGGTCTTCTTGACTCTGTCTTGGCGCCGGGTCCAGGTGGGAGTGGGGAAGGGAGATAGTGCGGTAGATGCTACGCAAGTCCACGTTCACTGTAAACTAATTCACGCGCAAGTCATGGTGTCTGCTGCATCTGGCTGTGGAGCACACGGTGAACATCATGGAACACGACAGTCGAACTTTCATCGTCTTCGTCGTGTGTTATACCTGTATGTATGTTGTGTGTCCTTTATTGGTATTCAGTCTAGTCAAACTGAGTAAAAAAAATTGCTTTTGCATCACCGCTGTCTCAGCCCACAGTTAAAAAGGCTTGAATAAAGTCGTCTTTGTTGTTCTAAAACACATAAGTGAATAACGATCTTCATAGTTGAATTGGAATTTCGTGAACTAATGGCCAATTGTCAGACAAAAAATAAGTTTTAAAACGTTAGAACTGGCCCATTCAAAGTATGACTGCAGACTACCAGACGTACATTGCCAATGCATTCAAAATCTTTTACACAACTATGCTGAATGTGGCCACCCGATTTTTTCGAAAAATGACTTCCACCTTTGCACTTATTCCTGCTAGGACAACCAATTTTAAGGTTGAGAACATCATCTGGTAATATTTTTTCGAAAGCGTTATTAGACACATGTTAATTAATAGGTTTCACCTCTGAGTCCTCTACAATTTGTCAGGCCTAAGATCTTAAAACCGGAAATCTGCGCATTGCAGTAAAGTTCACGAATTATTTGCAAACCTGCGAGTTTCACGTTTTTGTATCAAGGAACCCTAGCTTTCGGACGCCTACAGGAGACAATGAAGGTGAGAAAAGAACAACTGGACGGTTGTGTAGTCAGACATTTATGGAATGTATGTGAGTGACTGAGCTGGATCCACGCCGTCTAATCCACAGCGGCCTCACAATATGATGACCTTGTGTGTCCTTGACTATGAACTTGGCTGCGCACGCGTAACGCGTGATAACAGGCAGCCTTAGAGCAGGAAATATTCAGTTAGGGGTAGATTTGTTTTCTTACTGGTTAGTTACAAACTTATAAGGTATTTTCCAATGGCCAAACCAAGCACCCGCGACTCGGCCTCAGATGTCTGAATTGTTTTATCATGTTTTCCGGTTAGGTCAGGTTGGTTGGTTTTCCGGCACATTTTCCGTCTGAAATGAACTAAAGCAACTGTTACGAGAAGGAGCTTTGTTTAAAGACAGTCGAGCCCCATAGTTTGGGTTTAACTTCTCACAGACTGGATTCTTACAGTTTGCTAACAATTCATGGGTGACCGTTGGCAGTTATTTAACTTTCTTCCTGCCTGTCTCCGTCCCCTACCTCCTTCAGTTTTTCGACAACGAACACCGCACTCCCCTGCATATTGCAGCTGCCCACGGCCACTTCGAGGCCTGTGAGTACATGCTGAAGAACGGCGCCAATCCGAACCTGCATGACCGCCTGAGTTACACACCGCTGGTCTACGCTGTACGCAGTAAGCCCTCCACGTTGGCCCTCATCCAACTGTTCCTCAATCATGGTGCCATCCTTAGCCCACTGGCTAAGAGAACTGCCCGCTGTGCTAACGCCGCTGCCATGCAAGGTGACATCAGACAGCTGCGTCTCCTCAAGCTGACCGGACTCTCACTCGAGGTAAGGGAACGACTCCCGGTGGGTGCATTTTATGTACCTTTGAAAGCAAGCCAGCTCATTCTTCCGTCAGTATGATACTCCTCCGGGGGAAGTGTTTCGCATCCGCTTTTCAAAACTAGCAATGAGAACAAAGCTGCCATGCTCTCTACTGACCGGCAAAAGAGAGGTTTAGGTTAATGCGTCGTCTTTAGTCCCCTCTTCCGCCTCTTACTGAAGCCTTTAGACTATAAAAATAGGGGAATACTCAAGCGGAAGCGACCGGTCGATCTGCCACCGCATATCATTCTCTCAAGAAACGATAAACTTCAGGTTGCTTTAGGTTGTTGAGCTTCTGCGTGACCCAAACAATCCAAACCTAAATTGTTTGGGAATGGCACAAATTAAAGGAGACCAAATTTTGAGTCTGCCTGTACAAAATATGGTAATGTTTGATTAAAAAAGCTCTTAAGTATACGGGTTCCTACGACCGCCGCCACATTCCAGATCCCCAATTTAACAACGTGTGCATAATCAAAGTATAGCTGCATGATGTATCGCTATCCGAAATTGGTCACTGGCTATAGTAACAAGGCTTAACATCTGATACCTTCCAAGTGAAGCAGTCAGTGATCTACGTTTCAGCTGTTGCGAACCCGCCTAGAAAAGTCTGCATCTTTATAATTTCCCGAGTATCTTGTTCACACTTAAATAATGGAACCTGTGATGTCATGCATAAATACAATAGATGTACTAACTTATGAAACATCAACCGAGATTTTGAAATGCGTTTTTTGACTCGAAAGGGTTACTTAAGTAGGGCTGTAATATTAATCACCGTGCAACATAATCCTACAATATTTCAGTTACTTCAGGATGCCGGCTTCTGAGCGAACTTATTACTGGCTGCCTGCGAGGATTAATCCTATAAAAATGACTACTTGAGTAGTGCGGATTTTTCTCACTGATTTTCGATGTCCTTATAGGTTCAGATATATTTCATAGAAAGCATGCATAAAAATATTCATTCTATCGCTCATTTGGTAGGAAATTACGTCTTTTTCAAATTTTATACTTGACGAAAAAGTATAATTCAATTTTTAAAAAATTCATAAGTATGAGATTTTTATAACCGTGAAATGGTTGTTCATAAAACACTGCGTCTCTGCATTTATTAGCGTTTCTTGTAAAGTCTACAATATCTCTAAAATCCACTGGTAAATTCTATGAACCCCATATGGTCTTCCACTAATAGTGTATAGAAATGTAGGGTTTTCCGTACGCGGAAAATATACCCTGGAAACCCTGAATGCAAGTGTGACGGCAGGTCGGGTTTATGCTGCACGGTGATTAATATTACGACCCTGCTTAAGTAATCTTTTCAAACCGAGGACGCATTTCACAATTTCGGTTAATATTTCATGAGTCGGCTCATCTACTGTACTGCAGTTCGATGGCGAGTCGTACCCACTCCCTTGTCATAAGTTCCACAAGGTAAACAAAAATAGGTTAATTCCGGCTATATCCGTCAGTGAAGGGAGATTCCAGGTCTCAATTCAGTTCTTTACCTCTTGACATTCTGAATGTCTTAGTAGTCAAGTTTTATTTTGCCTGTTGTGGCCTTTCTAGTTTATCACATGTTTTAATGTCACTTGGCAAATGACCTTAGGATACAAGATAAGTTCTAGCCCCATTCGTCAGAAAAAAGTAGGCCTATAGCGCATCATGGCTGCAATGAGTCCACTTGAGTCCTTTATAATTGGGTCAGATGTGGTTATGTAGCCGTACCTGAAGTAAAAAAACCCCAGCCACCTGTAATACGGGACCGGTGTTAATGGGGGTTTTTTACAGGTGGGGGCGGGGGAGGCATAGGCGACGAGGTCAAGTAATTGTATGCAAAGGAAAAGCTATTGGGAATGCGCGGTTGAGTGGTTGAGAAATAGTTGCCCTGACCTCTAACACTAATCCTTAACCGTAGTCCCTAACCTTAACCCCTAACCACAACCTCTAACCCTGACCCCTAGACCTAACCTCTAACCATAACCCCCTACCCCCTAATCATAACTCCTAACCTCTAACCTTAACCCTTGTCCTTATCCTTGACCGCAGCCCTCAACCCTAACCCTGAGACATCCAACGCGAAAGTTAGAAGGAGACGACAGGCCGGAAGTCAAGAGGGACCAGCGGCATTGGGCCAAAAAATGTGGACACGACAACAAAGAAACAAGGCCGCCAAAAGAACACACACTGCAACGCACAGCAACACCATGCCAACGTAATCACACCAACCAAATTAAGTAGGTCAACAGTACTGTGTCCATAAAGTGCGGCTACATACCCACATCTTACCAATAACTGTCGCACATGCGTGGGACACTCGTTCAAAGGGGCTGACGTTACTGAAGTCACTGTGCCAAATCACACCATCCACCTGTCGACTGACTCGGACGGGCTACTGGCGCATGAGAGAGAGGGAGGATGAGGTTGATTCTGGGAAATCTGTCGCAACAGCTTAGGCCACGTCGTGAGGCTCTAACTACGACGACCTTCAGGCTCGGTCTCGAATAGAAGGAGAAAGAGTTAGACGCCAGTTGAGAAGAGAGTGTATCCTGTACAGAACAGCTGGAGAACAGGTTGGAAGGAGCTGGCAGCCGAACGAGGGTACGCCTGGCGTCGAGCGAGCGGCGTCCCGTGTGAGGGCGGGGTATGCGTCACGACGCCTTAAGCAAAAGCACTTCTGATTCGGCCTTGAAGATGATTGGCCAATGAGCGGACGGGCGGGCTGTGAGTGGAAGAAAATCAGTCGTGCGCACGTGCGGGAGCTCGCGCGAGGCGCAGCGTTGTAACAGGCGCCTGGAGTAGGGCCACTACAGATCCTCCGCCATGGCAACACACTTCTCAGTAGGGTAAGTCTGACGTGCGTAAAAGCTATGATGGTGAACTAAACATCGTGTCACGACGGGCTGCCATTTGAAGGTATATAATGCTTCCTTCATGGAAGAATAGCTCTCTCTGTGTGTTCTTTATGACAGACACACGATTGAAGTCCGAGTCCGCTTCGAATTAGGCCTGCGAAACGACGAACCAAGTTGTGATTGACGCGCGTTTGCGGGCTGCCAGGCTTTTTCTGCCACTGTCCCCACGAACACGCTTGATCGCCTTGACATTGTCCTCCCACTGAGAGGCGGTGGGTGGGGACGAAGAGCTAGCGGGGTAGACGCAGTGCAAGTCTATCTCACTACAGACATCCACGCGCAAGTCAGGTGTACGTTCATTTTGTGCGACAGTGACAGACGTCGTCACTTCCGACGGTCGAACTTCACTAGTGTCATCGCCACATGGACTTCTGTAGGGTCGTTATGTCGCAGGACTAGCATATTCGGGTAACGCATCAGGAACTGTGCAAGAATAGGGTATTTGGCGCTTGTTTTATATCTAACAGTTAGACAGAAAAACCTGTCTCCAACATGTCAGAACTTGTCTCAGTGGCAAAGGAAGTGTGTTTTTGCGTACCTTTTGATGATATCAAAAAGAAATGCCAGGCTCACAATGTACGGGAAGCCACCTCTGCAGGTTGCGAAGTCGATTACTGATCGTTATAATGAACTCTCACATTGGAAGCCTGGTGGCTATCGACTGACTGGGGCAGGGCGGTTGACTAGCGCATGCTGAGCATGCGTTAATACCAGACTTAGTGCCGACCAATCAATGAGCAGAATCCGACCAGGCAAACAGAAAAGCCTCCAGCGACCGGCAGAATGGCCGGCATAAGCCTTGCCGCAGTCGTGCACCTAAGTAAATCGTTCGCATGTCCATGACAGTATACTATTGTGTTTTCAGTCAAGTTTTCTGTCCCCCAAGGAAGGGCTATTTTCTCCCATCTGACGACTTCAACATCCAACTTTTTGAGTAGCCACCCCGGGCACTGAAGGATGGATGGATCACGCCAACCTCTATCGCAATTTTTATAGGATTCGGTGCCTACCTTACACACTTTTCTTCGCACAGACGGGCTACCCTGCTCGACATTATTGAAACTCCTTTTCGTATGGCCTACTGATACATCACTCTGCGTGATTCTTCCCACAGGAACTGGACGATGAAGGCCGTTCGCCACTTCACGTGGCGGTAGCCTACCGTCAGGTGGATACTGTGCGCTACCTGGTGGCTCCGGCCCTGGCCAGTTCCAACGGGGCAACCGAGTTGCCCCCTCAGGGATCCGATAGTCTAGACTTTGCTAAAACTGGCGGAGCTGGGGTTAATCCAAATCACAAAACCGCCTATGGATCGACTGCGCTGCAAGAGGCCGAGATTCGTCATCTAAAAGAAATTGTAGATATTCTGAAACCCCTCACAGGTAAGAAAAGTTTGCATGCGTCAATTAACAGATGACACTTTTTCTCTATGCAAAGTGCACCTTGTTTCCGAAGGCTTCACCTGCGTGAATTTAACATGCCTGTTAATACACTCTCAATCCCTAGCTCACCCCTTTCAATCGGATGCCAGATGCATATTTATTTCAGTCATGGTAGTCTTTGTTTCTGCCAGAGACCGAGCAGTTTCTTGCATTCTATTCCTGGGCATTTATACAAAAGTGATCATAATGAGTACTTGCTTCTGGACTCACATTTGAGTTAAAATGTTTTATTCCCAAAATACATCTTTGGTAGTCGTCTAGTGCAGTTATCTGTAAAGACTTAAGTATATTGAGTAATTGCTACTCGAAGTGATTTTTCAGCGTCTGACCGGAAATGTCAGGAATACGGTTTATCTCTAAAAGTTAAAGTATTGGTGTCACTCTGCACAAACAAACAGCACGTGGCAGCATATTCATGCATACTCGACTGCTAGATTTTATGAAACCCATATGATCACCCTTTGTTACCGTAGAGAAATGCGCGGTTTTCCGTACGTGGAAAATATGCGGTTTGTAGTTTAAAAATCCAGAACCAATGTGTAACGGTAGATCGGGTTCAAAATTCTTCGGGAACTGGAAAAGTTTTTGAAAACCAAATGATACCCTTTCTTCAAACATAAAATTGGAAGAAGACTTAATTGCCTACCGAATGAGCGAAAGAATGAATACTTTTATGCATATTTTCCATGAATTATAATTGGACTTTTGGGGGCATCGAAAGTCAATGAGAAAAATTCATGCTACTTAAGCAGTCATTTTTTACAGAGCGAGGTTTTTGTATGCAGCCGGAGGGAAGTTCATTCGAGAGCCGGTATCCTGAGGTAACTGAAATATTATAGAATTATGTTGCAGGCCAACTAGTTTTACAACCCTACACGATATTTCAGTTACTTCAGGATGCCGGCTTCTGAGAGAACCTCGTTCTGGTTGCCTGCAAGGACTAACCGTGTAAAAATGACAACTTGAGTAGTGCGGATTTTTCCCATTGATTTTCGATGTCCTTATAGGTTCAGATATAGTTCATAGAAAGCATGCATAAAAATATTCATTTTATGGCTCATTTAGTAGGAAATTACTTCTTTTTCAAATTTTATACTTGACGAAAAAGTATAATTCAATTTTAAAGAATTTCATAGTTATGGGAATTTTAAAACCGTGAAATGGTCGTTCATATAACACTGCGTCTCTGCATTTATTAATGTTTCTTGTAAAGTCTACTATATCTCTAAAATCCACTGGTAAATTCTATGAGTATTGGTGTCCCTCTGCACAAATAGCACGTGGCAGCATACTCCACTGCTAGATGTTATGAAACCTATATGATCACCCTTTATTACCGTAGAGAAATGCGCGGTTTTCCGTACGTGGAAAATATGCGGTTTGTAGTTTAGAAATCCCGAAACAATGTGTAACGGTCGATCGGGTTCAAAATTCTTCGGGAACTGGAAAAGTTTTTGAAAACCAAATTATACCCTTTCTTCAAACATAAAATTGGAAGAAGACGTAATTGCCTACCGAATGAGCGAAAGAATGAATACTTTTATGCATATTTTCCATGAATTATAATTGGACTTTTGGGGGCATCGAAAGTCAATGAGAAAAATTCATGCTACTTAAGCAGTCATTTTTTACAGAGTGAGGTTTTTGTATGCAGCCGGAGGGAAGTTCATTCGAGAGCCGGTATCCTGAGGTAGCTGAAATATTATAGAATTATGTTGCAGGCCAACTAGTTTTACAACCCTACTCAATTAATCTTTTCGAAACAAGAACGCATATCGGAATTTCGGTTGACATTTCATAAGTTAGCCTACCTACTCTGTCTCGGAATTTGGGTCCCAGTTGTTTAACTTTCGATGCCTGCCACAAAGCGTGCCACCACCACAGCAGTGGATTGCCTCTCGGCCTACTAACTCATTTCATGCTCAGTTAAATTCCGTTCAGATTGGAAAAGTTTAGAGATCCGGGAAGATTATTAGAAGAAGAAAATTGGCTCTCCGGAACAGGTTTATTTAACTGCTGACGTTTCAAAGAGCTGGGTCGGCTCTTCATTGTCAAAGCGTAAACTGCACTCGAAGTCTGGAGGGCCATTCCTTACGTTAAAGGGGTCTCTGAAGCGGTCTCGTGACTGTTACAACCCGCCAGAGTAGGCGTAGCCCATCGACCACAAGCAGCAATTCGACGTCGCCTGATGCAACCTAAAAACCCATTGCCACCCGCTGAAACCTCAGCAGTCATCTACAAAATAAATTGCAATGAGGGCGGCTGCAACTAAGTGGGCGAAACTGGGCGGAAATTGCAAACTCGCCTACAAGAACATAAATCGGCCACTCGGAGGTTAGACCCTAACTCTCAACTAGCAACACACGTTGGAGAAACGGGGCATACTTTTGACCTCCAGAGGGCTACCATCTTAGGCCGAGGCAACACAAAAACAGAACGGCTAACTCTCGAAGCGTGGTTCTCCGATGCCCACTCTATCAACAGGCATCTGGACCTTCCTGCAGCTTACAAAGTCTTACGTCATCACAATCGTAGAGCTCAGGACCAAACAACCACACCTGACTTAAGAAGGCAGCACGGAGGTAGCCCGACGCTGAGCTTACTCGGTGAGGAAGAACAAGAACCGCCAGACCGACCGCCCGACTAAAGTCCAATCAGCTCCCCTCGACGGAGTGGTGACTCATAAAGCGCACAGGCAAAAACGCCCGTCAACCATCTCCTGAGAGGCCGACGCAGCGGGAGGAGAGGAAAAAAATCGATCAGCATGAGGCCGGCCAACACAACTTGCCACTTTAAACTAAATTTCTGATCGATTATGTGCAGTTTACGCTTTGGCAATGAAGAGCCGACCCAGCTCTTTGAAACGTCAGCAGTTAAATAAACCTGTTCCGGAGAGCCAATTTTCTTCTTCTAATCAGTTAAATTCCGTTTTCACTACATATCGCCGAATCGTGCTCCCTTAACGAACCGTTCGGTCTCACATACTGTGAGCGCACTGGCAGAAGAGGCAGTTGCAGGCGACCAACTGTTGATGTGAATGAGTGATGTGGGCGTTGTCTTGTGCTGACACCTGGAAAGCTGACTCCACAGAGACAAGCGCCAGAAAGGACTTGAGGGGTGTGGTTATAGGTGGTGCTTTTGCGAATTGCAAAAATAAGTGATTTTTTTGGTAAGCAAATCGTTGTCTCGGTAAACTTTCTCACGTGGTCTGCATGCTTCCAAAAGATGGCGCCAAATCTGAACCGGTCTATTTTTTTCTTTTCTGACAGTGACTTCGAACGGATACGTAAACTAAAAGTGTCTCCTGTGAAATACCGAAAGGTCAGTTTATCTGAAATATATTTGGCTCAGTCACATATGTGCAATGTTAAATTGGATTAAAAAGTCACGCCGTATTCTGTTATCCTCTATTCGCTCTTCTCTTATAGATTGTCTCAGATTAACTCCCCCATCACAGATTTGCATCCTAACGGAATCATAAATGTGATCTATCGAACAAACTTGTATTTTCTTCTGCCTTTTGTATCCCCTTCTATGGAAGTATCTTTGGTGAATTTCGCGCCTGACATTAGCACCTTTTCCTACCAGCGTCTTTCTTGCGCATAAAGAAATTTGGTCTTTCTCCTTCCACTATTAATGCCTTATTTATGTTAAAACTATCAGCTCATGGTCTTCTTCCATCGTTGTTAAGATGAGGTCGTTGTAAAACTCAAAAATCTTCGTGGAAATGGCGTGAGAGTCAGTTATAGATCACCTGTTATTTTTCGTAATCCGAGGGCGCACTAAAAAAGGGTACCCTTTAAACCTGAATTTTATTTTAGAGATCCTCCAAAAAATTTTCGAAAAGTTTCCGTTCAGCTAGGCCGTAGCAAATTTTAGGTTGTGAAAAATTAAATAATCACTTGTCTTAAATTTTGCTGTATGCGGTTGGAGCATTGCCTTCCACATTCTTGGCCAAGATATGACTAATTTGAGACAGAAAATGTCAACCACATTCTGTAAACGATTCCGTACTAGGCAAACGATCGATAAGTGTTATGACCCAGAAGGAAGGTGGAACAGGAAGACAGCCGATTCGGAGGACAAACACATTATTGGTAACTTGCGGACACGAGGGGTTCCAACTCGTAAGGAAGATGCGCTATTTATATTGGCTCTTGTGCGTTCTGGAACATTCCGTCCAATGACGTGCCAGCCGTTGAGGGCGTTCTAGAATGTTCCTGCCCCGGGCATGCTGGTCGCTGATTGGCCACCGCGTGCGCGATAGCCCCCCCCCCGCGGAAACGTCCAGAACGTTCGACCAGCCATTGATTGGGCCGCACACGTGAACAAAGCCACCACACGTGCTCGGCGCTGCAGTGCACGTCGGTCGGCCGTCTAACTTCACGCGTGTCTCGCGCCGCCGGCTTGGCCCCCTGTTCAGCGCCCCAGGCCATGGCTCTACGCCGCTTGCACTCCCCATAACAATAAGATTCCGGAAAACATAGGAACTGATCCTCTGCAGTCGAGTTGATGCGCAGAATGGTCGAAGGACAGCTTTAAAGTTCTTAAGAGAAATGTGCCGGAGACACTAACCCAGTCGCGTCACGATGTAGTCGCAGGGGGGTGATCAGTTTGAAGCGCAGCCTTAATGGGGGCAAGTTGACATCGAGTCCACACCGGTAATGCCAATTGAGATAGTGACAGGAGCGTTAGCGACGATAATTTGTGGTGTTGAGAGTGGGTCGGTCGTGGTCATATTACGGTGCGTCTGTGGATGCTCAAGGATGCCGACCAGAGTCCGAATACATGGCAACATGCTGGCATTAGATAAATGCCTGTGACATTGGTTAGCGACATTTGAGTCTATCGTGCTTCGCCATAGTCTGCGCAATTCATTTGGTTTCACAAGCAACTGTTCCACATTTTCCGACTGTTTTCAGTGTGTTCTCGTGGCGTCTGTTTTGCTCTTCATTTCTGCGAGTGTCTCTAGAGACGTACCCATAAAATAGCCGTTTCGACCTGCACCATATATCATCCACACAGTGTGCCCGCTTCATCGAAATTGATTCCCGTCTAAATGAGCTTTAGTGAGAGTCAACTCCATGGTCTTCTTAGGCAGCTACAGAATTTGTATATTTCAAGTGTGGCCTGTTCCGGTGCTCGAACCCCCTTCTTCACTTAGTGCTTAAACTGTCTTGGCTTTGGCAAACTGCTCATGTCTCAGCGTCATAAAACGACTTTGTCTACATGAAAACCTCGCATGTACCGTGTTTTATGATGGGGAGGATGCCAAGGAGATTCCAGACTGTTGCAGCCCGCACAATGCCTAACTGGCTTTAGAGATTCGTTCTGCCGCTTCGTAGTCAATTTAATTGTCTGTACTATAATGATTAGCAAGAGAATTAGTCTGCCGCTGTGAGGTCCTTACTATCGGCAGTCACCATGGGTTCGGTGCGTAGGATAGTCGACACGGGTTGGTGCATGTTAATCGTTTGCTACGTGTCGATGGTAAATTCGAAGTTTGCGCGTTTACAGACGAACAGATCCAAACGCCTCCGCATGTACAGCTAAGATGTAGTGTTCAGTGTGCCGTCTTCAGCAAGGTGGAGGCCATATATCATGACCTTGTGTCTGCCCTCAAACGAATCGCATTTATGTATATACATACATAAATTATGGTTGGTAATAAAAGGGATTCAATTAATACGCATTAGTTCCCCGGGGATATCGAAGTAAATACAAAGCTTTGCTTAACTTTGAAATTGAGCTGCGCAAAACTTAAACAGTTTTATTTTGAAGCAAAATTTTATGTCAATGTAGCATGGCTTTCAGTCTAGGCTCAGTATGTCGAAATCAGCGAAGGTCTTCTTTCAGTCAGCGGGCAGTTCGATTGGGAACTTCACTTCCAAGTGAGAGACCAACTTCTGGTGCTATGGGTATGTTCATGAGGAGGTCATATAGTTTGGTTTTTGATAACCGACGACACTCGCTTTAGGGCTATTCATTACTTGGCAGCAATTTTACTACCTAATTTCATTTTATTTGTGACAAATCACTGCATATTTAATATAAAGTGTTTCCTTAAACATTGCAAATGAATGTATCCTATGTTGACTGTATATACAATAGGTGGGCTAACTCAAGAAATGCCAACCGAAACTCCGAAATGCGTTTTCGTTCTGAGAAGATCAATTAAGTAGGGTTGTAAAATTAATTATCCTGTAGGATACTGCTATAATAATTCACTTATCTCCGGATGCCGGCTTTCGAACGAACTTCTATCGGGCTGCATGGAAGAACTACATTGTGCAAAAAATTACTATTTAGGTGATATGCATTTTTCTCATTGATTTTCGATGCCCTTGGAAATTCAATCATATTTCATGGAAAACATGCATGAAAATATCCATTCTTTTGCGTATTCGGCAGAAAGTTACGCTTTCTTCCAATTTCATATTAGGAGGAAGAGTGTGATTCGGTTTTAAAAATATGTTCCAATTCCCAAATAATTTTGAAACCCGACTTGACGTTACGCCTATATTCAGGGTTTCTAACCTACAAGACGCATATTTTCCGCGTACAGAAAACCATACATTTCTCTACTGCAGTAAGAGCAAACTATATAGGGCTCATGAAATATAGCAGCGGATTTGAGCCATATTGTTAACTTTACAAGTCATATTGGTAAATGCAAAGACGTGACGATTTATAAACGGCCATTTCACGGCATTAAAAAATCTCACAATTAGAAACGTTTTAAGACCAAATTATACTCTTTCTTTTGGTACCAAAGAAGCAACAGTGTGAATATTTTTATGCATGTTTCCATGAAATGTAATTGTATGTTTAAGGACATCGAAAATAAATGCGAAAGATGCATGCTACATAAGTAGTCATGGTTTTCAGAGTATAGCTTGTGTATGCAGCCAGAAAGAAATGTGTTCAAAAGGCGGCATCCTGTGGCAACTGAATAATTATAGAACTATGCTGCAGACTGATTATTTGTACAACTCTATTTCATAAATTTTTTCGAAACGAAAACGCATTTCGGAATTTCGGTTGACAATCCACGAGTTAACCCACCTACTGTAGTTGTATTTATATCCGCTGTCGTATATAAATAGAGAAACTGCGGACTCAACGGGTAATCCTCAAACATATACATACAGTAGATGTGCTAACTCATGAAATGTCAACCAAAATATCGAAATGCGTTCTCGTTCCGAAAAGATAAATTAAGTAGTGTTGTAAAACTAATCACGATGCAGCATAAATCTATAATAACCCAGTAACCTTAGGGTGTTGGCTTTCGAAAGAACTTATCTTCGGCTGCATGCAAGATCTACATCTGCAAAAAATGACTATTTAAGTAGCATGCAATTTTCTTATTGATTTTCTATGCACTTGAAAATTCAATTATATTTCATGGAAAACATGCATAAAAATATTCATTCTTTTACTTATTCGGTAGAAAATCACTTCTTCTTTGAATTTCATACTCAAAAAGAAGAGTATAATTCAGTTTTAAAAAACTTTTCTAATTTCCGAATAATTTTGAATTCGACCTGTTGTTACACTTGCATTCAGGGTTTCAAAACTACAAGCTGTATATTTTCCGTGTACGGAAAACCATGCATTCCTCTACGGTGTTAAGAGGAGACCATATGAGGTTCATACAATTAAGCAGTGGATTTGAGAAATATTGTTGACTTTACAAGCCACATTCGTAAATGCAGATACGTGACGTTTCATGAACGGCCATTTAACGGTATTAAAAAATCTCACAATTAGAAACTTTTTGAAAACCGAATTATACTCTTTATTTGAGTATAAAATTGGAAGAAGACGTGATTGTCTACGGAATAAGTAAAAGAATGAATATTTTTATGCATGTTTTCCATGAAATATAATTGAATTTTCAAGGGCATCGAAAATCAATAAGAAAATTGCATGCTACTTAAATAGTCATTTTTTGCAGATGTAGATCTTGCATGCAGCCGAAGATAAGTTCTTTCGAAAGCCAACACCCTAAGGTTACTGGGTTATTATAGATTTATGCTGCATCGTGATTAGTTTTACAACACTACTTAATTTATCTTTTCGGAACGAGAACGCATTTCGATATTTTGGTTGACATTTCATGAGTTAGCCCATCTACTGTACATGAATACGAAAGAAGGTACATATTTAATCATTTAAGCGTCACTTGAGGAGCTAGAGGGGCTTCGTCTCCACGACTGATTCCGAAAAAATCATCTAACGTTTTATTATCCGTTAAGTGAAGAAATCCGAGTAATTAATCAGTCTGAACACGTTTGTAGGTATTTGGCCAACATACGCGTGCTTTGGATAAGTCCTCATCGGGCCTATACATTCATATGGGAACGGGGTACAAACTGAAAAGTGTAAACGATAAGGGCAACCGAATACGGTTCGCCTTTTCATACAAACGGGGTATGTGAATTAAAGGGGGGGGAATGGAGAGAGGAGGCAGTAAGT